AAGAAAAAAAAAGAAAAAAGAGGTGAGACCTTAACGGGAATTGGTCAGGCAAGGCGGTAGAATCTGAGGCCCTCAGAGACTGAGTCTTGTTGATCATCACTGATCATCCACAGTCTTGCTGACATGCTGGCCAACTGCACCCTGGGTGCTGGATTGTCTGTAATTCCACAATGGCCACTCCTTTACCCTGTCCTACTCCCACAGATCTTTTTAAAATGACACCTCCTCCAAGAAGACTGACTCCTGTCCCCATGCGGTTCATCTCACCCTCACCTCCAGCTAGCCTTCTCCCCTCCCTCCCTCTCTCCCCTAGGGCCTTGTGGTCTCCACATCCCTGCACGCTTACCCTTTCTTATAAAAATTATTTAATTTTATTATTTCAATTTGACGAGAGAGAGAGAGAGAGAGAGAGGGAGAAAGGCGTCAGATCTGGGACTCAGTCGTAGTTGGCCATGTGGGAGTCCGGCACCTTAATTACCAAGCCACCTGCCAGCCCCTGCTTGGCTTTTCTTAGCACTCTTTCACTTTAGGTAACCCTACTTCACTATCTGCTTCACAAAATGAGAATCTGCAAAGTCCAGGGCACTCTCACTCACCCTGGTGCTCCCAGCACTCAGTTGGGCCAGGTATATTACAGACAAAGATGCTGAATGAAAGGATCTATCCTCTGCTGGCCATGCCCCAGAACAGGGCAGGAAAAAATAAAAGATTTGAGAGACTACCAATGACAGGGCTAGGGAGAGGCTGGAGACATCAGAAAGCTGTCTGGCTGAAGGTGGGTCATGTTCTGATGGGAGGTTTGGGAATGTTTCCTTTTTGCATGCTCTTGCCAGAGAGACAAAGTGAGACATTCACCCAATTGAGAATGGACACACACACACACACACACACACACACGAGCCCAGTGTGATTTTCAAGCCATCAACTCTGGGACTTGAACTCGCAGTCAGCCATGTGGGATCCAATGCCTTAACCTCCACCCCTGCCACCTGCTGTCCCCCCACCCCCCAAATGTGTTTTTTTTTTAGAATTATTTTATTTAACTTTATTTATTATTATCATTATTATTTTCCAGTTTCATCAGAGAGAGACAGAGAGAGAGAGAGGAAGTGAGAAAGCAAGCCACCAGGTCCGAGACTCGAACCACTGTCGGTCATGTGGGAGTCCAGCGCCTTTACCACCATGCCACCTGCCGGCCCCCAAGTATGTTTTTAAAACCCGGAATCCAGCCCAACCTGGGCCAGCGTTAACTCAATACTCTGCAATGCTATAAGCCCTAAGGAAGATCCATTTGGTTACTGGGTGGACTTGTATGCAGGCTTGATTCTGGGCTGATACGGAAAGGGTGACCGGAAGGAAGGGCAGCAGGAGATTCTGTTGAGGTTGCGTGTTTTTTTCCCTCCCTCTCTTAATAAACTGAAAAACAAACACCCCCACCCCCCTCCCATCTAGGCTGTGTGTCTGGAGCGGTTAAGGAAGCTCAGAGCTGGCCGGATCGCTTCTTAGGTCTGGTTCTACGGTGAGAAGATCGTCTGCAGCCACCCTCATACCTGGCAGAGGGAGTGGGCAGAAACCACCCTCTTTCTTCTTTTCTCTCCACTCCCTCCCTCCACCTCCACCAGTCCCTGCCCCGAACCTTAGCTCTCTCCTCCCAACAGAGGTTTCCAGCTGTTGATGCCTGGATGGACCCGGCTGCAGGGAGGAGGAGGAAACTCTGTCCCTCCCTCCTTCCACATCTCCCCACCCTCCCTCCTCCTCCTCCCCTGCCCGCTCTCGGTCTCCCTCCCCCTTTCTCCTCTTAGGCTGTCGAGTCGCCTCGCAGCGGCGAGCTGCGAGCGCCGCTCTCTCCTCCCAACAGAGGTTTCCAGCTGTTGATGCCTGGATGGACCCGGCTGCAGGGAGGAGGAGGAAACTCTGTCCCTCCCTCCTTCCACATCTCCCCACCCTCCCTCCTCCTCCTCCCCTGCCCGCTCTCGGTCTCCCTCCCCCTTTCTCCTCTTAGGCTGTCGAGTCGCCTCGCAGCGGCGAGCTGCGAGCGCCCTGCTCCAGTCCCGGCTTGGAACTGAACTG